ACATAAGCAGCCCCACACTGGCCCAACGTTCTTGAAACACATAAAACAAACAACACCCGAGGGAAAGATAAAGGTTTGCAGTGCGACCCATGCTCCATTCACACCATCTCTCCTTCACAGCTCTTGATGTGGTCTGCAAACAGCCTAGCCTTCCTTGGCTCCGAAAACCAGACCTGCAGCCCAGAGCGGAGCCCCAGCTGCAGTCCTGATTGCTCGGCAGTGGGGCTGCCACTCTCTGGACATAAGCCCTGTCCTTTGGGAAGACAACACAGGAATGGAATGCAGCCATCAGGGACTGCCTCGGTGCCTGGTATCTGGCCAGCCCTGAGGTCTGACCCACGTCAGTGAGACCACAGATCCTGGGACAACATAGGTGGCACAGGGTCAGCTGAAAGACAAGGAATTGGGAGCAGGCACCTCTAGAAATGCCTGGCTTCATAGCAGTGACAGTTCTGAAGGCCATATGGATGCTAGTGAATCTGTCTGAGCCTCAGTTTCCGTAGATGTCAAAGTGATCTCACACTTTCTACTCAAGGCAGAACACTGGGCATCTTGTCGCTAAATGTTCCACCAGGCTGTGTCCACCAACCTCGATCCCCAGGGAGGAGCCAATCACTCATGTGAGAAAAAAGAACCAAACCAGCCACACAAAGGGATTTCTCCTCTTCTCTCTCTCTCTCTCTCTCTCTCTCTCTCTCTCTCTCTCCTCTCTCTTTCTCTCTGTCTTTCTCTCTTACTCTAACTCTCTCACTCTCTCTTTCTCTTACACACACATACACACTCACACACTCACATGCATACACACTTTCTCACACTCACAGCACATACACACACACTCTCACTCTTGCTCGCTCTCTGTCTTACTCTCACTCTCACTCTCTTTCACTCTTGCTCTCTCACTCTCTCTCTCTTTCTCTCTCTCTCTCTCTCTCTCTCTCTCACACACACACACACACCCACATACAATACCAAATGGAGGTTTGCCTGGCAGCCTTGAGATGGAGCCATCCCACTTATCTGTAGGTATTTAACTCAGTGAATGACCCAGTCACCAAGCTGGCCCCTGAAATGAGCATGGGAATGTCTGCGATCCATAGAGTCCACTGAGTAAGCCAGACTATGCCCATTGATCCTACCAAACAAGTTCAATCCAGCAGACCTTCTCTTTCCACAATCAGTGCTGGCTGCCAGGCATCACCAACCTTTGCTCTGATCCTGTAGGTGACGGGCGGCAAGAACGGATCTAGACCACTGTCAAGCAAAGGCCTTCAACAGGCCTGCTGAAGTAGGCCACGTGGGAGGTGAGTGGAGTGGGTTGCTAAACCTTATTTCTCTTAAAGATTATCTGTCAGCTCTGGCAGGATTTATACTGTCAGGAACCAAAGGCGCCTTTTGAAATAGAACACCTCAGCAAAATCTCAAAGCAGAAGCCATCTTCATTCCTTATATAGGCTGTCCCCAAAATATTGCAAGGATGTTAGCAGAGACTCCTCTTTTGAGTCTCTCCATCGATACTAGGCAAGGGAAAACACTGCCTACGTCTGAGATGTGGCAAAGGAATCTGATGAGACCCATGAGTTCGGGGTCCCCCAAGGTGGTGTCCTGGAGGTGATGGAAACAGAGACCTTTCTATCTTCCGACCTCAGGCTGCACTTCCACCAACAAACACACAGCAGCAGCTAAGGAGAAGGGGGCACCCCAACTCCCTGCCATACGCAGATCCCTGCGAAAGCAAACTCACTGAACGGAAACCCATCAGCCAGCAAGAGCCCGGCAGCAGATACCAGTTCCTGTTCTCCTTTTTGGTTGTGTGTGTGTGTGTGTGTGTGTGTGTGTGTGTGTGTGTGTCACCCGCATTCAGCAGATGGGAGCACTGAGACTTGGAGAGTTTATGGGATTCACCGACACAGAAGAGATGAAAAGTTTCCACCAATTTTTCCTTAAAATGTCTTTACAAGGGGTTAAAAACAAAACAAAACAGGTGCCCAGCAGTAAACTGTGCCCGGCATGGACAACTGAACACATGGATAAACCAGGTGATACACTTGTAGAGACCCAGCCTCGTGTTGAGGCTTTGGGTCCAGCTGAGTGGCTAATGATCTGGGGGACAGATGAGCCACTTGCTTTCTCTGGTTTTTCATTTTCTTGCCCAATAATGAAGACAGATTCATAAAAGCAGGTACACCAATGTCCCAGACTTGGGGGAGAAATGAAAGAGAAACTGCTGCTGGAAAAGAGGACTGCATGCCTTGGAGCCCGGGGACTCTCGCTGGAGGGGTCCGAAAAGGAAGACAAAAGAATCACCTACATCCACTCCTGTTCCAGCCGCCAGTGTTCCCTCTCGCCAGTCAGAGGGAAGGGGAAACGCAAGAGATATTTGCGAGTCAAAAAACCACACAGTTCTCAGGGAATGTGCAAGGGTGTGAGAAAGCACCAGGCCCTCGGCCACGCCAGCTGTCCCTCTGCATGCGTCCCAGGACAGACACACAGGCCAGGGGCCCACACCGGTCCCTAAGCCTCTTATCTCATGTTTACCCAACAGAATGAGCACTGCAGAAGCCCAAAGGGCTGAGCGCACTGCAGAACTGGGGACAGCAGAAAGGTGTGGTGGCCGCTGTGATGGATGCCGGCCCCCTTCCCAGGTGCCCCCTTTTCCTTCACCTGGCCTGGAGAAGCTTCTCCAGCACCCTAACCCGAGCACAGCAGTTAAATGCCTGCCAACAACTCAGCCTCCCTCTTAGCAAATCCAGAGAATGGCAGTCCGGGATCCCAGCACTGCTGCACCGTATTGTCCGCCCCTTCCTCAGATGCTCCGGCCACCACTACCTGCTGCAGAACACAGTCCCCACAAGGCTGCTGCATCCTGCTCACACTCCAGCTCTCCGTCCCGCGTTTGCTATGATGCCCCAGGCTGAGCCAGCCCCTCAGGTCCGGGCACAAAGAACGCCGAGAGGTGAGCAACTACAGCAAGGGCCTACAACCACAACCACAACCACAACCACACCGGCCTGCGGATGAGAAATCCAGGACCAGCGCTTGTAACAGTTGGTCAAGACATAGGAGCGGTGGGTCCAGGTGGGAGGTGGAAGAACGCAGTGTAAAGGCAGGCTGTGTGCAATCAAAGAGAGCCAAGGATCTGGAAAGCTTCGTGCATACCCCTGACCTGTGACAGGGCTGGCCTGGGAGAAGGCACCTGTGAGAGCAGCCCCTGGGAACAGCTGCTGAGACATGGGGCACAGGGGCCACGAGCATCCAGGCTCAGTGGAACCCCGAGCATGTAGAAACAGAAACCCCCAATTCTGATTGGGGGCTGCTGCAGACATGGAAAGAAGGGATGTCCCCAGCAAGTTGGCTTGTTGGTTCGCCACAGGGAGCCCCAGGAATCCAATCGTGGGGGCTCCCCATTTCCCAGACAGACACCGGAGTTGCAGAGCCCTCCCTGCACACACCTCCCACGGCAGAGTTCTCCCAGGCACACAGACGGTTCTGGGGCCAGCAGAAGAGCCGGGGCTATGGGCCACTGCAGTGCTCTGACTGGCTCTTCAGGAAACAGGCGTGCATGGGATAGGATAGCACGGAACGGGAGAGTGACCTGCTTGTCTCCTTCCGCACCTATCCCGATGCACTGCCACCGGCACGGTGATCTCCCTCCCAGAAGCTCATACCATCAGCAACCAGCCCCCAGCAGCCTCACAAGAAGCAGCAAGTGGAAGAGACACAGCACCCTGCCAGGGAAGGGCAGGACCTGAGAGCAGGGTCCAGGCTTCGGGACCTGGCAAGGGCTAAGCAGTGATTCCTTTCCTTCCTGAAGCCAATACCGAATCTCAAATCTGGAATCGCTACTTCACGAACAGCAGGGAGCCACTGCCAGGATAAGGCTGCTTTGTTTTTGGGGGGCTCGCGGAAGCGCCTGCAGGAGCAGTGCTGTGAAAAACGTAAACACTGCAATAAGAGCTCATCCTACAATTCTCCTGGGGCTTCAAATGGGAAAGGCGGGCCAACACTCACCACAGGTCAGCTGGACTTTTTTTCTTGCTAAGGGACAGGAGAGGTTACATATATTTGGGGCTGTAATTGCAGGCCTGAAAACCAACTTCAGGCTAAATAAGGAAAATGAAAGAAGAGTGATTCATTCACAAGATTTTGGTAAATACACACAGTGCATACATTTGAAAATACCTGTTTGGTTTTTATTTTTTTTAAGATGATTTCATGCACATAAATAAGGCTGGAGCGATAGCACAGCGAGTAGGGCATTTGCCTTGCATGAGGCTGACCCAGGCCGACCCCGGTTCGATTCCTCCGCCCCTCTCGGAGAGCCCAGCAAACTACGGAGAGTATCATGCCCGCACGGCAGAGCCTAGCAAGCTACCCGTGATGTATTCTATATGCCAAACACAGTAACAAGAAGTCTCACAATAGAGACTTTACTGGTCCCCACATGAGCAAATAGTTCAACAATGGGAGGACAGGGGGACAGTGCTACACACACATACATTTGCAAATACCTATTTGGTTTTTAAAAGATGATTTCATGCACATAAATAAGCATATTCTGTGGACTAAAAGTAATATCCTTTCCCACAAATTTGACTTTCTTCCCAGAGAGATATTACAGGAGTTAGGGCCCTTGTCTTGCATGCTCCCCGCCCCCACACTGCCAGGAGTGAGCTGTTAGCAGAGTCAGAAGTAAGCCTTTGAGCACCTCAGCATCAAACACCACCACCACCAAAAACAAAAGGAGCCAAAAAGCTCATTGTCACTTGTAAATACTCCATAGTTCCTACTCTGTGAGCATCTAGTCTGGTAGGTCAGCACTCTCCAAAGCAGTACTAGCATAGCACTCAGTCCTGAGTACCCCCAGACAACAAACTCCTCTCAACTCCCAGACAAGTGACAGCACCCTCAAGACACAGGACATAGGTCAGGGAGCCTCAAGAACTCTTAATAAACACTCTTGCCCTCCGTGGAAGATGAGGCCCTTGGCGCTGGGGACTCACCTGTTTTCCAGGATCGTCATGCATACCACCTCCCGCACTCCGGGGTTGCTGGCCTTCTCCAGCGAGCAGCCCTGCAGGTTCCAGGTGGCTGCCCTCAGCACTGGGCGCCCATCCCGGGTGCCTGCGAAGGCCTCCACGGTGGGCCTCGTGGAGATGATCTGGGTGGGACCCCCTGGGGGCAGGTCCAGGTCCTCGCTCTGCAGACTCAGCGAGGTGGGACTAGGGTGTGGCTTGGCGGTGAAGGTCAGGCCCCCATTGGTGTGGGTAGACGGGGGCCTGGACCGCTCGGCAAACACCTGGTGCCGGATCCTGTCCAGGAGGGCGGCGCTAATGCCGCCCAGCCTCGCCAGGTCCTCCACGCTGCGGAAGGGGCCGTGCTCGCGGCGGCAGTCCACAATGCTGGCCGCCACCTTCTCCGTGACCCCTCGAACGCTCATGAGCTGCGCTGGCGTGGCAGTGTTGATGTTGACCCGCGGGGTGAGGGGCGCAGAGGTGGCCAGGTGGTGCGGTGGCAGCGAACTGGGCGAGTGCTGGGCCGAGCTGACCTTGCTGCTCACGCAGATCTCAAACTTGATCTGCTCCAGCTTGGTGGCGCCCACGCCACTGACCAGTGCCAGGTCCTCCACCTTCTTAAAGCCCCCGATGTACTCGCGGTACTCCACGATGCTGCGGGCCACGGCGCGCGTCACCCCGGGCAGGGTCATGAGTTCCTCCTCCGTGGCCGTGTTGATGTTGAGCCGCTCCTGGTTCACCAGCATGTTGCTGAAGTTGCAGGCGGCGCTGAACTTGCGGCTGTGGGACGGATCCGAGGGGTCTCTGGGGATGGAGCGGTGGCAGCCCAGAGTGCTTCCCATGGCCAGCCAGGAGGGCCAGGAAGGCACAGAAGGCTCTTCTGGAGATGCAGTGAGCAGGGCAGGTGCGGGGAGCGGGCTACCGCAGACACTCGCTCTCCATGGCTCGGAGGGCACCTGGAAGACAGAGCACACAAATGAACAGCTAGTTTGCCCTCCTCGCCCTCTGCCACCACCGGAGCCTTGGTGCCCCGTGAGGTCTGTGGCTGCTTGACAGGCACGGGAAATAAGGCTGGTCCCAGGGGGTTCCTCCTGAGACCACCGACGTGTACGTAGGTCAAAGGGCTGTACTGCCCCTTCTTCTGGCAAGGAGAGCCCCCATCCATCAGAGCGGGCTTCTGAGCCCCCATCATCAGACCCAGCTTCCACGTCCCCATCTTCAGAGCGGGCTTCTGCGCCCCCATCAGACCGGGCTTTGCGCCCCCATCATCAGTGAGGGTTTCTGTAACCCCATCATCAGAGCGGGCTTCTGCGCCCCGATTGGGCCAGGCTTCTGCGCCCCCATCATCATCAGTGCGGGTTTCTGTGCCCCCATCAGACTGAGCTTCTGCGCCCCCATCATCAGTGCGGGCTTCTGCGCCCCCATCAGACCGGGCTCCTGCGCCCCCATCAGACCCGCCTTCTGCACCGTGCCCCAACTCCGCAGCACCGGGCACGTCCCTCCTGGTCCCGCACCCGCTCGCTCGGGGTGTCCTGCGCAGCCTCTGCACCCTGGCCTCCCGTGACCTGGGCTGCAGCCGTCACGCGCGGGCACGGTGGGTCCCCGGCCCCCTCCCAGACCCTCACCTCTCTCGGACCGGCCCCACCTGCGGCTCCCGAGTCCAGGCAGACGCTGGGTGGTCCCGGCCCCAACTGCCCGCCACGACCGCGAGCCAGTTGTCCCCGGAGCGAAACTCCGAGTGGCCCTGGGAGCCCGCGGCCGCTGCGGCGCCGAGCGGAGGCGGCGGTGGAGCAGGAGACCCGCGGCTGCACCGGGACTCTGGCGTCGCCGCAGTCGCGTGGACCCCAGCGAAAAGTCCTGCGCTCCACTTGGATGCCGGAGCCTCCAGAAGCCAGCCCCAGCGCCCGATCTCCGTCGGTGTCACAGCCAAAGTCCTGGCCGCGCCGCCCGCGCTGCCGCCAGTCCGCGGCCACGCCCCGCCCGCCCGGAGCCTCCTCCCAGCGGCTCCCGAGAAGTCCCGGCGCGGGAGAGCGGAACCCCGAGCGCGGGGCGGGGCCTGGGCGCGGGGCGGGGTCTGGCGGCGAGAGACGGGGGTGGGCGGGGCCTCGGTCCAGGAGGCGGGGCCTTGGCGAGGGGCGGGGCCCGAGGATGCTGGGGGCGGGGCCTTGGTGGGGCAGGGGCCCTGATGCGCCCGGTGCAATGCGGGCAGCAGACACCCGTGATCAGGCTGGTGGGGCGCCGTTGACTCCCGCCCCCCGCGCGAACCGAAAGATGGGACGTCAGCACTGAAGAGGCTGCGGTGTGGAGTCTTGAAGCCGCTGTGCTCGAGCCCGGCGGGGTCCCAGGACTTGGGGCTGATCCTGCGTTTATTTTTGCGCGAGGACAGCCCACCCAGCTGCTCCGAGCTGGCGGAGCTCCAGGGATTTTGCCAGTCCGCGTCGAGCCCCTTAGGAGACTTTGGAGACGGGATAAGGGACTCCTTGGTGTCCCTGGCACATCAGAGTAGTCGTCGCTGCGCACTGCAGCCAAATCTGGGGCTGTGGGAGGGGGCGTACGAGCGAGCCCTCGTGGGATCTTTCGTCACTGCCCACTGCACCGTGAGCCCCTTTCCCGCTGAGTATTGCCAGGACTGTTGGCCCAGCTTGTACCGTGCAGGGAGTTGGGGTGTGGGCACCGCAACTCACGTGCACACGCATTATACCTGTATACCTGTACACAGGTATTCTGAGTGCGCAGGATTCAGTTGTAGAAGAAAAGTAGCTGCGTGACATTGTAACCGCCTTGGATCCAGCACTGAGTTTCAAGACGTCACTGCCTACTGCATGCGCTCCAGTTGGTGAGGAGCTGAGCTGGGCTCCACTGCCCACCCACAGCTTCACCTGAACCATGGACCCTGAGTGTCCTCTGAGGTCTCTTTCATTAATTTTCTATTAATTTTCGCCTTAAATTTCCAGGGCAAGGTCAGCAAGAAAACTTGGGGACTAGCTAGCTCCTAAGAGCATGGCGTGTGGACTTCAGATGATGTCAGCAGACCTTTTAGGACCTGCCTCTTCTGTCCTCTCCTGTGCTTCCTTTCCTGCCTCCCCTCTCCTCCTGGAGCACTGCTGGCCTTGGGGGAAAGCTGTCTATAGTATGGAAATGATTTTAGGAGAGAAAAGACTAGGCAAAGGTTCTCAATAGGACTTGGAAGTGATGGGCCTGGGCAGTTAGACTGCAAGCAGAGAAATCACTTACTCTACTCTGAACACCAGCATGCTTTCGGGGGTAAGAACAGGCAGTATTGACCACACTGAGTCAATGAGAGCAAGCTGCTTTTATTTCCCATAAAACTCAGTTTATTTTTTCCCTTGGCAGAAATGTAGCCAAGAAGTGCAAAGCCGTTATGCATTTAGACATACCATCAAAGCAAAATAAGATGGATAAATTTATAACAACCATACCAAAAATTGGTGAGGATGTGAAATACTGTTTAGTGGTATTGTAAGATTGTTGTGCAGCCACTTTGAAAATTAGTTTAATCATTTCCTTAAGAGTAAAATATACATTCTTTTGCCATAAGACAACCACTTTGAGCATCTGGCAAAAAGTAACAAAAGTATGAAACCCAAAGATTTCTATGTGAATGTTCATAGTAGTTTTATTTGCTATAGCACAAAACTGGAAACCCTAATAGACATAGAAAGATTGCATTCATCTGGGGGATATAAAGTAACAAAGTATGAGATTAATACCCAAGAATAGCTGATATCAGCACCAGGAGGATTACTCCATAACTTAGAGGCCAGCCGGGTATCCTAGAGGAAAGGGCTGTTCAGATAGAGAAGGGAGCACCAAATAAAGGATGTTTGGAGGCTCCTCCCAGGAGGGGAGATGCATGTCGAAAGTAGACTATGGACTGAACATGTTTGCCACTCAATGCCTCTTTTGCAGACCACAACACCCAAAAGGAGAGAGAGAACACAGGGGATTTCCCTGCCACAGAGACAGGGGGGATGGGGGATGGGGGTGGGAGGGATATTATCCATGGTGGTGGAAAATGGGCACTGGTGGAGGGATGGGTATCTGATCATTGTATAATTGAAACCAAAGCACAAAAAATTGTAAATCTACAACTTTAAAAAAAATAAAATAAAATAAAGGGAAAAAAAAAACTGGAAACCCTAATCTATCCAGAACAACAACAACAAAAAAAAATAAAAAGGAAGAAAGAAAGAGAAAAAAAGAGAAAGAAAGAAAAAGTAATTTTTTTCGAAAGACAAACTACTAATATATGCAATATTGAAGAACCTTCAAATCATGCTGGATGAAAGAAAACTAAGAGAGAATTTTGATTCCGTTTTTACAAAACTCTAAGAAAAATATCATCTAGAGATAATAGAGAGACTATTGCCTGGGGATAGAGGAAGAGATGAATTAGAAGGGAGGCAAGGTGGGGCTGAAGAGATTCCTCTCATTTCAAAGGAATGAAAGCGTGTTTTGCATGCCGGAAACCAGGTTTGACCCCCCACCACCACCACCACCACCACGTGGTCCCCTGAGTACCACAAGGTCGGGCAATATGTGCACACAGAGCTGGGAGTAGCCTCCCAGAAGTGGCTACTGGGTGTGGACCAAATACAAACAGAAACCAAGAACATAAAGAAACGTGCAGGGGGAAGGTAATAGAAATGTTTCTAAAGCCAGTTTCATGGACGTATGTCAAAACTGATAGAATGCAAACTTGATATATGTATTGTCTGGTGTTCGATTATTCCTCAATAAAGTTGGGAGGCAAGTATTCAAAAGATAAAAAGTACTTCTCTTTGAACTTAGAAAGAAGTTGGGCAAGAGGAGTAGATGACTCAGATTGAAGATGAGGAAGTTCAAGGGACTGAAGAGAAGCAAAGGGCAAGAAGAAATTAAGTCTGGAGCTAGCAGAAGAGACCAGTGAAAATTCCTGCCAGGGTTGGAGTACTCGGAGACCAGGTATCAGAAGACTACAGATATCAGATGGTCTACCTTGTTTTCTTTGCTGCTCTCTGATGGCTTCCACCTCTACAAAGAGTCCCCATTAAGATGGAAAAGTTGTCTAGGGAATCTGTCACACTAGGAATGGGATTTGCCATTGTCATTTGACAGGACAGGAAGTGAGGGCATGGAGTTCCAAGAATCTGTCAGAGGGCAAGGTTCACAGCATGTTAGCTCTATTACATCCTGCGGTTGCTTCTCCTTACCCCAGAATTGACACCTCGGGTTTTGGTCACAGAAACTGAGGTCAGTGGCCTTCTGCTTCTTAGTCAGCAGTTTCAAAGGTGAATAGCAACCAGGGGAAGGGAGAGGTCGTGGAAGGGAAGAAGGGAAAGCAGTGTTTGGTTTTTAACATCAACACCAATGGTGCTGACACTGGAAATACAACAATGAACAAGATGCATGGCTCCTCTATTCCCAAGGCTGATAGGCCAGCAAGTATGTAGATATTAAATCAGTAAGAGCAATGCACATTAGAATAAAAAGGTAAAGAGAGGAGCTAGAGCTATGAGTGAAAAGGGCAGAATGCAAGGGACTTCCCTGGGAATTAGATTAAGAATTAGGATAATATTTGAAAGATACATAAGGAATGAAGCCCCTCTTGCCAACCCCTCATTCTAGGGCATGCTGACAGTCATCTGGACAACATAGCTATGATGACTCCAGCACATTTTTATGGACCAAACTGGATGCTGTGCTGAATAGCAGTGTGACAAAGTCACACCTCCTATTGGAATGATTTCCAGAGTAGCTTTGTTATTCTCTACCCAGCCTCCCATGTTCCCAAACTGATGACACCCCAGCTATTGACAATAAACTTGAACTTTCTAAATCAGATTCTGTCTCCCTGGGAATTATGGCATGGGACAGCATAAAATGACACAGAGACACCATGAAGAGTGTCAACAGGCATAGCTC